CAAAAACAAAACATGGAGGAGAAAATATTGCAATGCATCGCAATAATTCAAGTATCGTGATGCATCGTGATAGAATCGCATCGTGGCCTGTGAATCGGGATTCGAATCGAATCGTCACTTCTTTGGCAATACCCACCCCTAATTAGAAGTGGCTTTGGGGAAAAAAACAAAAAGGACATGAGAGAGGGAGGGCCCACTGAGGGGCAGGGTGTCGTCGTTGCATCTAGACAGCTCCATCTTTGTGTGTTCGAACCAACAACCTTTTATCCAGAAGAAATTACCTTCATCCAGTCTGGAAGCTGCTGGTTTCAGTCACAGCTGCTTTCCTCCAGTTAGCATCTCATGGTTCACCCTGGTGACACCAAGTCTCTAACCAGTCACAGTTATGGGCAATGTGAGGAAACTGGAGAAGCTGCAGGGAGATATCGCTCTGGACCTCAAAGCCAGGACCTTCCTGCTGCAGGAGAACAGCGGCGCAGTCCGCTCCATGCTGCAGCCTGCAGAAGGAGAGGTTTTCCTGAAGGAAAGTCTGGTTCCCATAACATCCGTCTGTAAACAGGAAAGAGTCAAAAACACAAAAAGGAAAACTACTGCCAGTAGCCGGTTCCTGGAGTAACCTCATTAAAAAAGCATGTTAGTAACTGTTATTTTTTCAGTCCAACATTAATTTAATCTAATTAAATTAACCAGATTCAAAGCAATGTTTTTTGAACCTGCCTGTGGGATGAGAAACTCTCCGGTTCTGGTCGACCAACAAGTGCTGCTGAGAAACCGCTGAAACCCACCAAACCATGCCGCACTGGACCGGTTGCTGCATGGAACTGTTAGCCCACTGGACCATTGTCTGAGCTGCTGCTAAAAGCTACCCGCTGCCTTGAGGCGACCCCCTCGTCTAAAGTCGTGGTTATCATCCCGCAGCAGCGTGTCGCAGATATGTTTGATTTATGCCCAACATTGAAGCGTGGTCTGCGCTACGTTATTCCACGCCACAACGCCAGAGGGCCAATCAGGAACCAGCTGTGGGTCTAGATACGGCCGAGGCGGTGAGGAAGTGGAAAAACGAAAGAGGCAAGCTGTGACAACGGAGGGACATGACGGCCAAAAAGAGCGGGGATCCAGGTGGGAAAAGGGTCCCAGCGTTCTCGCTCACCTCACTCTTCTAGCTGCTCCATCTTCACCAATGGCGGTCAGACAAACAAAACCAGTAAGGAACCAAACAGGAAACACGCATAGAGTAGAGCGGATGGAGATCTGACCAATCAGAGGCCTCCTGTCTGCGGCCACCTACAATTTTGGAGAGTCACTGCAGTTTTGCAGCAGTGTCCATTAAAGACATTTCATCCCAGCGCTGCGTGTCCCGAGCCCGTGACATCATCAATGACCCCTCACCCCCCCCTGTTGCCCTCTGGGAAGAGGCTTCATTCAATGCAGGAGCAGCAGGTTCTGCAGCAGCTTCTTCCCCACCGCCACCACACTGATGAACTGATGAAAACTCAAACCAAGTCACAAATCGAGACTCTGCATCACACTTGTAAACATTATATTTGCAATACATTGCAAAGTTTTCAAATCCCTTCATATAGAACTCAACCCAAAGTTTCTACTACATTTGCACCATTAACCTCTGGTCAGTGCTGCGCTTTATAAATGCAAATGTTCATTTCAAAGCTGTAAACTTTTAATTCACTGTTGAAAAACTGCAG